GTTTACAATAAACTATTCTCGTTAAGATCTGTTTGTATACAAAGGTTAAAGTTGAAATTGAAAAATAAGTTTTCCGGAGAAGGAGCACAGCATTCATTTAAACAATACCCTCAAAAATGGAGTAGCTCGGTAGCAATAATCTAAGAATTCGAATTCGAATTCAGATTATTCATAGTTCATTAGAACCTACATGATGAACACACTTTCAACTCAAAACGAGATTGAACAGTTGATCAATTTACCTCGTTAGTTCTGCTGCGAGAAAATTATCTCTTCTCGTATTCTTCAGGTGTGCGTCATGATTTATGATATGTATTCTTTTGCATCTATTCTAATATATTATAATAAACATGTTTCATCAAGAATGCACATTAACAGTATATAAGAATTTCACATATTGAAAGATAAATCGTTAAAATTCATCATTTACAACACTTTTTTTATTTTAATAAAAAAAAAATACGTGACTATAAAACTCAATAATCTATTAAAAAACAACTAATTCTGAAGTTTTATTTCTCTTATTTATTTTCAATAAGATTACCTGGTACATCATCAATGAAATCTTCTTTAATAGTGATTTTTGATGTATTTGTTTGATCATTTTCATCTTGATTATCTTGCATTGTTTCTTCATCATCAGTTTCATTTTCTTCATTATTGTTATTATCATCATCATCATATTATTTTTCATCATTTCTATTTGCTTTTTCTTTGGCTGTATTAGCTTCACCATTAATTTGTTCATCATCTTCATCATCATCTTTTTCAGCTAATTCTTGTTATTCATCTTTATCATTTGAATCATTAATTGTTATCTTATCACGAATATGGGCTGATCTTAAAAGAGCACTTGTTGTTAATTCTTTACGTTTTTTATTTATTGAACGACATAAACGTGAAATAAAATATGTTTCAAATGAACATATTATTTCATTTAATTGTTTTTTTTCCATATTTTTCATGAAAATAAAATTCAATTTTATATGTATGTTTATGATCATTTAATTTTAATGAAAGTTTTTCATGAATATTAAAAGTTTTTAATACTTAAGAAAATAAAAGACGAGACCAACGACGTTGTAAACGTTTTGCTTTACGTAATGATGATGAACTATGTAAAATAGGTAGTTCCATGGTTGGTGTTTTTACCTTTTGAGAAGCAACCATAAGTAATTGACGAAG